CAGGCAAAAATAACCAGTTAATTCAGTGGATTAAAAAGAAAAAAACAACCCTACCCACAACACTTGACCTCGCATTGATCCGTCTGGGACGACACCAAAGGCCACCATTTATTGAGTGCCACAGTGTGACCCTGTGTGCTGCTGAGACACCTGGGATTTCCTGGAGGTCTCCAGGCCTAGTTCCAAAGCTGATTCTGCCTGGAGGGGTTAATGCCTGGTGTCAGGTGCAGAGGCGGAACTGGGCTTGCAGGGAGGGTCTCCTGACCTCTGAGTTCAGTTTGCTCATCTGTAAAATGGGGCCACTATGGTGGCTTCAAGTGGCATGATGGTGAGGGACAGGGTCAATACCTCGGACATGCAAGATGATGGTTGAACACTCAGACGTTTTGCTGTTTAATCCCAATGGCAGCCCTGGGAACGCAGGAGCGAGCATTTTATTTTCCGTTTTACAGATGAAGGGGTTGACGGCTCACACACCGATGGGTCCTTGGCAAGACGGTGGTCTCAGGAAAAGGACGAAGTTGCTCTGGAAGGAAGGTAGGCTTACCTGCCCACAGTCGTGGGGGCTCCCTGTGTGCCTAGGACTGCTAGACACCCCACTAAATCTGAATTTCAGATAAACCATGACTACAGGTTAGTGTAAGTATATCCCATGCAGTATGGGGCATACTTACACAGAAAACGGACGTGCCTACCTGAACTGCACATTTCACTGCATGTCCTGTGTTTATTTGCTAAATCCGGTCCTACGTGCACTGAGCACTGTGGGCTGCAGTTGAGCTGTGAAGACTGGGCACGTGCAGAACCCATACTCAGTGACTGCCCAGGTGAGCAGGGCCTGGCTGAGGGGTTCATGGGCCGGGCAAGGCAGGTTGCTGGGCTGGAGGGAGTGTGCTGGGCTCCACCATGGCTGCAGTCCGGGGAAGGAAGATTCCTTCATTCAGTCAGCAGACATGCAGGCCAGGCCAGAGGGCTGGTGCTGTGTGGTGCTGGAGCCATGTGGTGAGGCCCCAGGTTCAGCCCCAGGGTCTGCCTGAACACGCCCAGCTGCCTGCAAGGTTAGGGGTGAGACTGACACGTGAAACTGTCGAAGGTGCTTCTTCTCTGGAAATAATAAGCTAAAAAAAAGTTAACTATGTTTATAAAAGAAAACCGTGGGGACCAGTAGATGGCATAATGGTTACATCGCAGGATTCCCACGTAGCCGACAACGGTTCAAGTCCTGGAACTGGCAGCTTAAAGCTCACACGGGCCTATGTATGTGCGTTTTCAAGATTCCCAGAGAATGGAGAAGGGATTACGGTGTGGCCGTTCCCCATAGGAGGGTGATTTCTCGCTTTTTGTCTCTCTGTCTCTCCATCTGGCAAGTGCATGTGCCCTGTAGCAAAAATGTCTCTTTAAAAAACAAAAACAAAAACAAAAACAAAGCAAAACCCTGGGTCAGGGTCAGCAAGTGGCGTGGTGGTTAGGGCACTGGGCTCCCACATGACAGACCACAGTTCAAGTCCCAGACCTGGCAGCTTGCTTTCTCACTGTTCATCTCTCTCTCTTTGTCTCTCTCTGATGAGCACACCTGCCCTATAGCAAGTTAAATAATAACAATAAATTAAAACAAATAAATAAATCTTTTTTTAAAAAGTGCCTCATCCAGTGCCAGTCTTTGCTCTGGGCACAGGGCTGCGAGCAGAGTGAACACCTGCCCTCTTGCGACATCTTGGAGGCAGAGGACTGCAGGTCACATGAAACCCATAGCTCAGTGGGGTCATCCCGGATCCAGAGCGTGAGCCTGAGGCTGGGCTGGGAGCGCCGTGCAAACCCTGGGGCTCGTTTCTTACAGATGAGTCAGATAACATGTATGTAACATGTGTG